TTGTCTACTGTCTCTGAGGTCCAAGGCAGGAGGTTTAAGCTATGTGTCTGCCCCTCCTGGTTCCCTGTAAACAAACATGGGGAGTCTTCTGGCCCTCCCCTTCCCTGTGCCTTCCTTGTCTTCCAAATAGAGCCCTGGCCTGTACTTGCCATGGGGATGGGAGCTGTTGCCTGAATGGTGTCACTATAGGCTCAGCAAGTTGGCATATTGTAGCTTATATGCAAATACCCAGATAGAACAATACACGCATATTCTCACTAAGGTGTGAGTGACTGATGGAGTAAAGTGAGGAAACAGCACTGGATAAGGAGTGAGGGTAGGGAAGAAAGCACAGAAAGTGGAGGTGGGGGTGCCAGAAACAGATGAAAGGTTTCACAATGGTGTTTAGCACTGGCTCTATGTACTGCCCCCCAAAACCCCTCGTTATTCCTGAGGGGTCCAGGCCTCAACTCTGGGTCCCAGGAGGGCTGGGCTATGGCGGAAATGGAAGAGCTTAGCCGGAAAGCCAGTCCAGGGCTGACAAGAAACAGTGGTGACAGAAGAGGGGTCTGGGAGCAAGGTGAGGACAAGGTGGGGTGCCCAGACAGAGCTGCCTGCTTCTCTCCCAGTGTAGGCCAGAGGCAGCTGGTATGCTTGGCCCGAGCCCTGCTCCGCAAGAGCCGCATCCTGGTTCTGGACGAAGCCACGGCCGCCATCGACCTGGAGACTGACAACCTCATCCAGGCCACCATCCGCACTCAGTTCGAGACCTGCACTGTGCTGACCATCGCCCACCGGCTCAACACGATCATGGACTACACCAGGTGGGACCAGGGCAGCAGGAAGGATAGGGCAGGCCAGGGGGGTCTGGCAAGGGAGAGCCCTGGGGGCAGGGCAGGCTTCCTGAGATGTGAGGAGGGGCAGCACAGAGCAGGGCTACCTGGGCACAGGGGAGGGGACACAGTGAAGTGTTCTAAGACACAAGGGACCCTTGGGAGTGACCCACATGTGAGAAAAGGGCTCAGTGGGGCTCTCAGCATTGGGACTTGGGGCAGGTCACCCGTTAATGGGTGAGGTGAAGGGAAGGGGTCCCTGTCCCAACCACATCCCTTGCAAGCCCCCTTGCACCTCACTACTGCACACTGACAGTGACCACGCCAGGTCACGGGTGAGAAGGTGGCTCAGGATGCAAGGGACGCCTAGTCCCTATGTTGGGGGCTGGATCCAGACTACAGCATCAGGAGCTGAGGCCTTGTGGTGGGGACAGCGCTGAGTCTGAGCCAGAGGACTGAGTCCTGGGCCCCATGTGGCTGCTCACTGCCGTGTGACCTTAAGCAAGTTGCAAAGCCTCTCTGAGCATGTTTCAAATGGAAATGATAATGTCGCTCAGGATGATCATCGGGATCTCAGTGAAAGGATGTGTTTGAACTTCGGTGACGTTGGGAAATGTCACTGCTTCCACGCCCCTTTAGGTGCCCTTATTCCACTGGTCCCCCAGATAAAGAGCAAGGGGCCTTGCGCTGGACAACTTCTGACTTCCTTCTGGCTCTCTCATGGGGTCCCCCCCAGCCTGCAGGGTCTTGGAGGCCAGCAAGAGTGCCTAGTGCTGCCCTGTGTCCATTGCAGCCCCATCCCACTCCCACCCAGGACCCCACAGGGTAGAGAAGAGCGGGAGAACAGGGGAGTGCTGGGCCCTGGGCCCGGACCAGGGATGGGACTGGCCTGAGTGGACCCCTTCCCACTAACCAAAGATGGCTCCTTCCCAGCAGCCCTAGGGTAGGAGACTGGGCCTCACCTTGGTAGAGCAGCCAGAAATTGATCAAATAGACATGCTGCAAACCTGCACTTCCAGCTTGTAGGAAGGAAGCGGGGGTCCAAGAGTCTGGGCCACACGGGGCAGCCAGGACACCTTCTTCCCTGAGGAAGGGCAGCACCAGCCAGCAGACGTGCAAGGGGTCGAGTGGGGCAGTGAGGAAGGGATGGTGCTGAAAACTTCCGGACAGAGGATGGAGTACATGCCATGAATCTGGAGACGCACAGGCCAGGGCAGGGGAGAGGAATAGGCCCCACTGGTCCAGACCTGGGGGACCTGGCATGCCCAAGAGCCAGGGGAAGCCACGAGACTGATTTCCAGGGGCGGTCTCCTGGGCTCCCGTTTGGCAGTGGCCAGGCAGCACTATGCACAGACCTCTTCCCAGGACAGTTTCTGGCAGCCCAGCAGTGGGAGCCAGACAGCAGCCGCTCTGCCGGCTGGAGAAGGCCCTGGCCCTCCCACCTTGCCCCGGGGCAGTCCTAGCTGTCGGCTCTGCACCAGGCGAACCCTTGAGTGGTGTGGGAGGTTAATGCCAGGCTCAGGCCGGACTGTGCGTGTGGGCGGGATATCCGCCCACAGTCGCAGCCAGATCTGCAGCCCAAGCCCCAGATTCCAGCGCTGGCCTCGCTGCAGCCGGTTTCCTGCCGTGTGCCTTTGTCACTGGCACAAAGCAGGTGCACGCGCAGGGCCCGGTGCGCAGGCCCGTGGCTCCCTACACACAGCCTGCTGCCGTCTGGTGACCCCGGAGAGGGAAGGGCTCATTAGGGAAGGTTTTTGGAGCCCAGACTACCAGAGATGAATAGGACCTTGTGTTTGATCCCAGAAACGGCTTCATTTGCTGGGAGAGCTAAAGCAGGGCTAAAATAACCAGGCCTGCAAGCGAACCTACGAGACACTCTGTGGTGTCGAGTGGGTTGGTGGAGTGGATGGACTGGCACGTCAGCGCCCGGGGGCAGGAGGAACCCTGGGCTGGTGAAGACCTGACCATTTCTTTGTCTTTTCTGCCTAGGGTCCTGGTCCTGGACAGAGGTGCATTAGCTGAATTTGATACTCCAACCAATCTCATCGCAGCTAGAGGCATCTTCTACGGGATGGCCAGGGATGCGGGACTTGCCTAAAATATGTTCCCGGGATTTCCTCCCAGCCTTTCCTGGAAGGGAAATGACACCATGTGTCCACAGAACGGACTGTGCCTCTGGAAGGAGCCTCACAAAGTAAGCAAGGAAGCGAGGCCCAAGAGGAGGAGGAGGAGGAAGAGACATCCGCAGTCACAGCGCAGTAGGCGGGGCCCAGGCTAGTACCTCGGTCTCCTGATTCCCAATCTAGCCTTATTTCTGCACTTCACTATTTTTGAACAATCATTCCATGGAGAGACCTCTCTCCTGCCTTGAATTGTTCATATTTTCTAAAGTATTTTTTAATGAAGCTTTTCCCTCCTGGAACGGAAGACTGCCAGGTCAGGCTGGCCTGGGAACCGAGTCCTGAGCTCCGGGTGCTGCCTGCCTGCGACTGAACACGGTGCTGAGGGAATAAAGCTGTGTGGTCAGCAGCAGACACACCCCGGCGTCGCCTTTTTCTGCCTGTTCATGGGGTTTAGGGACTGTGACCTTCAGAGGAGCCTGGGAGGAACAGGGAAAAGCAAAGGAGGGCTTCAGCGGAGGAGCTGTGTGGCTGTAGTCACCTTAATGGTTTGGACCTGAAGCTTTCGGCTGGAAATACAGTCTTCACGGCCAAAATTCAGTGGGTAATTGCCAGCTGTTTGGCTCTGCTGTGCAGATACCGTGAAAAGCTGAGAAAGAAAGGCCCTGAAATCTGACCCGCGGCCTCTTGGGAAAGCAGCTCAGAACAACTCCCTGCTCCCCTGTCCCTCAGCCTTGGGCTGTTTCTCCAAGGGCTGAGGAGGGCGGTTTCCTTCCTTGCTTCCTTCTTTGCTCCTTTATGGACAGGTCCTGACAGGTCCCATAACCAGAGCCCTCCAAGTCGCTCAGTCTTCAGTCCTGCAGAGAAGCCCAGAGCTGTCCCCCTCCCATCCCAGGCTAGCAAAGGAGATGGGGGAGTGGCTATTCTTTTTTTTCTTTCAGTACTAGGAACTGAATCCAGGGCCTTTGCACTGGGCTACAGCCCCAGCCCTTTTTATTTTTTTTATTTAGAAACAGGGTGTCCTGAGTTCCTTGGGCTGGGCTCAAACTTGCAATCCTCCTGCTTCAGCCTCTCAGAGGGCTGGAATTATAGGCGTGCACTACCACACCTGGCTTAAATTCAATTTTCCAGCAAGCCAACAGTTTATTCTGCCTTTGCAGGTCAGGGTCCAGCTGGCAGCAGGCCTTCTATCTGGAAGTTTCTTTGTCCCCGTGCCCAACACTCTCCTGATCTCACTCCCATCTCCTGCACCTTTGCCCCTGGTCTGCTGTGCCCGGTTGCGGTGGGTGACAGTGGTTTTTTTTCTCCCTCCACTCTAAGCAGTTTGCAGTAGATGTAGAGCTGGCCCCTTTTTCTCTGTGCTCTGGGTCGGCCTGTGGCTACAGGGCCATTTGTTAAAGGTTAATCACATTTTTTTTGGCAGGCTGTTTCTGCCCAGGATGTTTATGGGTATATGGAAGGCGACTTCCATCCTTGTGATAAAGCAAGTCTGAAAGCACAAATGCCCAAATTATTCTGCCTCTCCTTGGTGCTAAGAAAAGGTCTCTGCTCCGCTCTGATTTATTAGGCCATTCTGGCGTGATGTCTGCCCTGTGAGGCATGAGCAGGCCTGAACTAAAAGACAGCAGATCACTGGCCCCGCGATCCGCTCAGAGTCTGCAGCGTGAGATTGCATCTCCTCTCCTGTCTGCAGGTTTGCCTCGGAGCTCAATGAAGCACTGACAGGTGCTGACAACCCAGCGGAAGAGGCTCGGTTGTCAAGGAAATAGGATGATCAGAAAAAGTGGTTAACAGGGCATGACCTCCATGGTGCCAGCTCAGCTACTCCAGGAAATAAAGGCCACCACCAGGAACTGGGAGGAAAAATGCCACACAAATATCTAAGTGTCCCCAGGTGCCACTGACAGGGCATGAGCACCACCACAGCTGTGGAAAGAAGGGTCGGTGGGGATGGCCCTGCAGTTCCTCCTCAGAAGTGCCAGGTCCCTGGACCATGCAGCAATCTGAACTCCTATTATTAGAAGGATAAAGCTTTTTAGGAGGCCAAGATGAAAGAAAATGGGCTGGGTCGGTTAATATTTAACTTTAATGATATCTGTTACGTTTGAAGAGTTAGCAATGCACAAAGAAAAGAATCTCCCGGGAATGTTTACACACGGTGTGAACACATGCTCTACGAGGTGGAGAGGGGTGAGCTCACAGTTAACAAAAGATCCTTGTTAGAAATTACACAAAGCATATAAAAATATTTCTCTGAATGCATAGATTAAGACTTTCAACTTACCTCCCAGCAGCTGTGCAGTCTCATCCCACTGCCAGTCTCTGACACAGAGGCTCTGAGGCAGGAGCAAGGCTGGGGTGGGGCACCGCCAAGGACCCGTCTCTCACCTGGGACCCCCGGCCTCTCTCCATGTGCTGAGCCAGGGGACCCCTCTGCAGGCTACCTCCCAGCCAGGGGCCTCCACTGCTCTTCGGCTACTAATGAATCCAGGTGGTTCAAAGAGTAGAACCTCAGTAATTTAGACATGAATACTGAATTTATTTCTTCCAGGATAGAACCACACTTAATTGTATTAGTAAATTGTGACTTTTTTCAAAGCGAAGGGGAAAAAAAAAAAAAAGTCAGTACGTCTAAAGTAGTTTCTGATTGGATGGAACACAAGAAAGGGGTCTTCTTCAAAGCACTTGAGGGGGTGACAATCGACCTTTACCCTGCGATGCAGACACCTGGAGAGGGTGAGGCAGTCGCTGGCAGGAACCGGTAGGAGCCAAGTCACTGAACAGAGTGACTCGAGCAACTGGCCCAGAAGAATACCTCAGCCTCACGGCAGCACTCGGGCAGCACAGCGGTCTCCTCCGTGACATCTTCTGCATGTTCCCGCTAACTGCAGTGCTCTAATAAAATTAACAGGAAGTTCAGTTTCTTGGGAAACTATAGGCACTATGGGGAGAGAGGTCCTAAGACAGCAGGGCTGCTCCTCCTCGGCTGGCTTCAGCCCCGCTGTCCCGGGCACCTGTCTGGGCTCCTAGCTCGAAGGCTAAGCTGTTGGTTTCAACAAGACGCTGGCTTCTCTGGTACCATGGCTGACTCTGAGGAAAGGGAAAAGAATCCGTGAATGCATTCTTGAAAAAAGTTCTGATGCCACGCTTAAGAGTTTGACCTGGTGCTTGTTCCTGCCTTTGTTTAGGTCCAGTAGTCTCCCAACTCGCTTTGTTGAGTGGATTGGTGGTGGAAGTTGGAGGAGTCCCTAAGATCAAACAATTGGTTTACAAAAGCAACAGATTTCAGAGTTGTGTAAAAATCCTGATAATTTCAAAATAACCTTTATCTTTGATACAAAAATAAAGATGCTAACTCCTTTAGCTCAGTTTCCCACAATAACCTCTAAAATAGCAACAGATTCAGGTGCAAAAACTGCTTTTCATTTCTAGTGGAAGATGAGAGTGAGGATCTCGGACGGACGGTGCAGTTAACACATCAGTGACAGGAAGCGCCTCAGAGGGGACAGCAGAGGTTCCCGTGGAAAGCGGCAGAGCCCTCTAGTGACGAGACAGAGATGACTGTGGGGACAGAAGCAGGCTGAGGGGCACAAAGGGAAGTGGGGGAGGGGAGGCCCTTTTGGTTAGCAGCCTATTCACAATTAGGTAACTGTATTCTTAAATACTTTAACCTGAGTAACATTTATAAGTACGTTATAGGAAATCTCACAACCACAATCACACTCATCCCTTTGGCCGGTGCCTGTTTTCCCCAACCTTCCTGCCGGTCAGTTCACGGTTGTGCGGTTCACAGTTCTAAGAGTCGTGAGCCTGTGACTCGGACACAGGAAGGCAGCAAACCCAGCCCTCAGGGCACCGTGCACAGGAGTGGCTGGAAACGCTCCACTCCCGGCATCCTCGCAGACACTTTCTTCCCTTCCGCACAGCAAGCGCACTGGCTGGAGCTCACTTCGGCTCTCCAGACCACTTCCCAGCTGTTCAGTTTCAAGCGATAGGTTTGTTGTGCACCAAGAGGCTTGGAAGCGTGGCACCACTGCTGGGGTGAGGTTAGGGCTTCCTGCCTTGGCAGAACGGTGTTAGTCTATACTACGCAGTGGCACCAGGGGCCCTCCAGGGCATCTGAGGCTTTTGGATCAATGGCTTGTCCTTGGCCCAGAGATGACACGCACTGTCACAATACTCAGTGATAGAAGTCCCTGTTGCTAACGTCAGTACGTCAGCTTGGAAGCTCTCTTGTTGTAGCAAGGCCTTTCAGTCAGGGTAGAGGCAGCATTTCTGAACAGAAAATTATTTTCACTTATCATTAGAACCAGTTCCAGCTCCTGGAAATCCTGGAGTCGAGCAACGTCTTTGTCCTAAAACAAAACAGGTTAACAGGTTAAGAGCTGCGTGTCTGCAGACACTTGATAGGCTGTATCGAGACCAGTATCTTGGCTCGCTTCAGAATCTCAAGGGAAAATAAAATCCTTGTGGCCAAAGTTGTTAAATCCCCAGGGGGGAGCTGGGCTGAGATGGTGGAAGCCTTAACAGCCACTGCTGCATGAGGAGCAGAGGCCTTGAAGGAACAGGAAATGAATGGGTTGATTTTCGTCAGGGGCCCCAAGGAACCAAAGCCTGATGTTCCAGATGGAAGAACCACACATGCACCCATGTGGGTCTGCTCTAGAAGGTAACTTCAATTTTATCTCATAAAACACCAAGCACATTAATGGTGCACAAAGCAATCCCTGCAAATCACTAAGGAAGTGAGTGAAAATAGGTACACGTGAGCAGAAATTCAGAACATTCTGTCTGGTACTTTACAATTTTCAAAACTGCCGGTGTCTCTATGACTCAGTGGAGGGAAAGAATACTTTCTGATTACTCTTGGAAAACCACCGTGCTCCTTTTCTATTCTTTTTTCATTTCTTACCTATGACTCACACTTAACCAAGGAGGTGGTTAACTGTTTTCTCAGAGCAAAAGCAGCCACTAGAGCTCAGCACTGACCTTACCTTTCTCAGCAGAGTGTTGGGGAGCTTTCTGATCTTTTCCACTTGGTCTGGGCTGACACCCAGCTCACAGCAGCTCACTCTGAGCAGCTCTTGGTAAGTGAGCTCCTGTCGGTCCAGTTCAATTTCAATGAAATCGTTTTCTCGCAGGGATGGGTTCTGAATCCTCACCTTAAGTACCAGCTCTGGGAAAGGAGAAATGGTAATGAATAGTCTGCCATGGCACAGCCCATAACTTAAGATGTTTTCCAGGAGATAGTTGCCCTTAATCACACTGGGGCCAAAGATCAGTGAGGTCTGCTGAGACCCAGTCCTGGCTCTGCAGCAGCAGTTTCTGAGCTGTCTTCCCTGCATCTAAGGCTGCGGCTCCCCAAATCGAAGTGGGCAGGGGCAACCATCCATGTGTGAAGGGTCGTTCATATCTGCCTTTGGAACTGAGGGCTGAAGACATCAGAAGTGGTCTGCGGGAGAAGGGAAAGACCACACTGTACCCTGTGCTGTTTGGAATTGGAGCCATCAGGATGAACTGTGGTTTCTAATGTTCTTCCAGTGATGCAGGTAAGCAGATACAGGAATACTGTACACCTGTATATATGAATTATGTTTCTCTGTCTGCTTTGTTTTTTGTACTACTGAGGACTGAACACAGGGCCTTTGCATTGAGCTGCACCAACAGACCTTTTTCAAATGTTTTATTTTGAGACAGGGCCTCACTAAGCTGCTGCGTTGCCCGGGCTGGCCTCCAACTTGCAATTCTCCTGCCTCAGCTTCTGAGTGCTGGGACTACACGTGTGCCACCATACCTACCTTGCTTCTTTCTTTCTTTCCTAGCTGTCCTCTGTGTAAGCCTGGAAGAAATGACATACCTGTAGGAATAAGGACACCTTGTGCCCAATCCTGGTTTCTAAATATTATTCTCTACCAAAAAGAACCAGGGCTGCTTAGAGAAAGAGTTGATTCCAGGCCAGGGGTAGGGGAAGTTACACTATGTGGCTGGAACATCTTGTTAAGCTAGAAAGTGAGTAAGTATTCTAGGAAGGATGAAGACATGTTCAAGGGATGGAAGAACTAGCTTGAAAGGGCTCCCACTGGCCAAATCAGGAATGATCTGAATATCAAAATAACAATAGGAGCAGATTAAGCCCAGTGAATATAAGAATCCATGAGTCCATATTGATATAAATGGGGAAGGGAAAGCATTTCTTTCCTTTTTTTGGTAGTGGGTATTGAACTCAGGACCTTGCGCTTGCGAGGTAGGCGCAGTGCCACTGAGCTAAATCCCCGGCCTGGGAAAGCATCTCTATACAATGAAATACCAATTAATAAATAGGGAATGATAGATCAGATTCTACAAAATAACTGGCCTGGAGTCATAAAAATATCAAGGTGGTAAGGATAGAGAAAGGATGGAGATTATTCCAGAATAAAGGAGACAGATGGCTTGATAACTAAATGCAATGGGTGATCCTGGGCCAGAAAGGGAGGGGCGCACAGACACAAAGGGCACGGTTGAGAAAGCTGACAAAACTTAAATATAGGCCAGGTACGGTGGTACAGGCCTGTAATCCCAGCACTAAGAAGGCTGAGGCAGGAGGCTTCTGCTATCTAGCCCAGGGTATCCTCAAATTCGATCTTCCTGCCTCAATGTTCACACTGGGCTCTACATCAAAGTTACAGGAATGTATGTGTGTTTACTGGGGACTGAAACCAGGGCCTCACACTGAGCTACATCTTCAATTCTTTTTAAAAATTTTCTCTATTTTGAGAGCTAACAGGCTCTCTCTAAATTGTCCAGGCTAAGCATTCTCCTGCCTCAGCCTCCTGAGTAGCTGGGACTATGGGTATGCACCACCATATCTGATCTATTTCCTAAATTTGATAATTATCCTGAAGTTATATAAAAGAATATCCTTGTTTCTAGAAAGGCCACAAAGGAACAATACTTCAGTGTTTCAGGGTAGAAGGGCAAAAGATAAACACTTGCTAAATCTGAGTAAAAGGAGTTCCTTCTACAGGCCCTGCAACTTTTCTCTAAGTTTGTAACTATACATCCAACATATAAGCAGATCTCAGTGCCCTGGGCCCAACTCCCCTGCTACAGAGGTTGTTCGCTGCCCAAGCTGTACCTTGCATATTAAATGGAAATGTTCCAGTGAAGAAAAATGGCTGGAAGGCTGGTGCCTGTCCTGTGAATGTCCCATTTTGAGGCTCCAGAGACACAGGTGACTTGGATGGGACAGAAGAGAACAGGGAGCGGCTCTGACTCACTGGTGGCTGACAAACAGGCCCCGGTTTTGTGCTTTCTGGTGTTCTGAGGATGGCAGAAGGGGCAGCCATGTCGCCATTCTGCACCAGTGCTAAAGAAGTGTGGTCCCTTGAAAAAGCCCCTAGCAAGGGGGGCTCCCCCGGGGGCAGCAGTGGAGGGGAGCCGTCTGCGGGGGGTGAGGCTAGAGGGGTGGAGGGGCCTCCGTTCTGCAGCAGGGCTGAATCTTCGGCCTCCGGGGAGTAGATGAAGGGGAAGGGTGGGTTGGCCAAGTAGTTGGGAACAAAGGGCAGCTCCAACTCCTTCTGCTGGGGGAGGTCGTCATCGTCAGCCTCCTCCTCATCCACTTAAAAGAGAACAAACACAGAACGTTTACAGCTCTTTAAAAATGACCCCAAAACAGCATCTTTGAGCAGCTGTGTCCTTCAGAATGTGACAAGTACTTTGGTCGGTGTTTATTGGCTCTTCAGGTCAGAAAGCAAAAGAATATTTTGTTAGGTTTATATTTACTACTTTTATCATTATTTTGAATTTTACCAAGACCAAAACCAAACAGGAACCTTACGACTTTGACCTCCCCAGAAACAATATGGAATTACTGTCTTGGCACGATGGTGAACTTTGAAGAATACACCAGCTGCTTGCCTGGCATCAAGAATGCGGCTGAGGCCGGGGGAATTTAGCTCAGTGGTTCCGGTGCCTGCCTCGAAAGCGCAAGGTCCCGAGTTTGATCCCCGGTACAAAAAAAAAAAAAAAAAAAGAATGTGGCCGATTACACCACGAGTCTCAAATTAGTCTGGCAAAATCAAATGTTCCCCCCAAACATAGACTCACCTCCCATGATCTTTCTGATCTCTCTTCGCGATGTCAGCTGTACTGGCATCTCCCCTTTGGTGGTCAAGATCTCTTTGTCGGCTCCTGATTTTAGCAGGTAAGAGACCACCTGACCATGGTTGCGTTTGCATGCCCAGTGTAAACAGGTCCTGTCCCATGGGAAGGAGACAAGGACAGGCGGGTTGAGATTTCAAATTCTACACATCGGTACATAAATATCTGGAAGCTTACTAGAGTTCAGCTAGACACCAACTTTTTATTTCGCAAAGCAGATGGTCAAAATACTTACAACTTATTTTTAAGTTTCATTTCTGCATCTGGGGATGTAGCTCAGTGGTGGAGCCCTTGCCTAGCATGCCAGGTCCTGAATTTGATCTCCAGCACTTAAAAAAATTCCTAATCCCTGGGGGGAATTAAATTATCCTAGGAGTTTTCATTTCAATTGTTTCCAGAAGAGTGGCTGATTCCAGTGACACTTCAGGTCATTAGATTCTCTCAGTCTCCTCAAAACATATTTCTGTATTGCCTCCTTCCTTTTCAGGGACAACAAAAATTCACTTCATATGCATCCAGTGTCACTGGAAGATGAAATATCAGGCAAATAGCCACCTATCTGCAGCCTGCTCTGTCATGTCGATTAGTATTACTACAGCAGATATTCCTGTCTGAACCTCAGTTGCTCCCTCCTCTTTTTTTTTTTTTTTGGTACTGGGGATTGAACTCAGGACCTTGTCCTTGTGCGGCAGGTGCCAGGTGCCAGAACCACTGAGCTAAATCCCCGGCCCTCCCTCCTCTTTCCTACACACACACACACACACACACACACGCAGAGGATTTCCAAATTTCCTTTTTTATGAGACAGGGTCTTGCTATGCACTTCAGTCTGGCCTTGAACTCACCATGATCCTCCTGCCTTAGCCTCCCAAGTGCTGAGATTACAGGTGCGTGCTACCCCAGCTGGCTAAATTTCCATTTTTAAAAACTTGGCTTTCCTATTTCTCTCCAGAAGGCTCCAAACCTATCCTCCTCATCTGCTCGGATAAAAGCACACATAGTTTCATTCCCAAAGCACTTAAAATGCATACACCAACAACCCCAAATATTCAAGATCAGACTTTGAACGATCAGGCTCATTTAAGAAAAACTAATAATTTTTTTTTTGGTACTGGGGATCAAACTCGGGTCCTTGCACTTGCGCAGCAGGCGGCGAAACCACTGAGCTAAATCCCCGGCCCCAGTAAAACTAATTATTAAATTTTGAATTTGTTTTTGTTTTTTTGGTACTGGGGATCGAACTCAGGTCCTTGCGCTGCAAGGCAGGCGAGGTGCCACTGAGCTAAATCCCCGGCCCCTAATTATTAAATATTGCACACATAGGAGGTGATTCTGTATGCTCCAAGGGGCTATTATATTAATACTATACAGAAATATAATTAGCATTCTGGCAAAAACTCCATCTTACTAGAAGTTATAGGATTCAGAGCTACTGAATTCACCCCCAGGTGCCAAGGCTGAATGCATATTTCGGAAAGAAAAGACTTTTTCCCTCTGGTTTGAAATGCCCTCTTTTACCACCTCCCTCCCTGAACTGACATCAGTGTCTTCAGGGGTCTGTCACTAAGCACGGGCATGATGAAGAACAGAACGTGTGTTCCAGAGTGAGGGTCAGGTCACTAACCCAGAAGTACAGCTACCTGGTTCCTGGAGGAGGCTGATTTGCCCTGGGCACCTCCACATTAGTGACTTACAGAAAGCTGGACTGTCTGGCTGGCCAGGAGCAACTCCACTGATGTTTAGCGACACTCCACACTACCATCATCAGAATGACATTATCTAGGAGCCTCCGCGGCATCCTCTGTGATGAAATTACAACCCATGTGAAGAGAATGAGTCTTGTGTTGCTGCTGTTATTGCCACTGATTTTTGGGGCAGTGATGAGGATGGAGCCAGGGCTCACCCAAGCACTAAACTACATGCTCCACAAAGACAGGAAAGTGTCTGCTTGGCATCTACAGGTGCTTCATTCTTTTTAGTGGGTGAATGAACCAAGGAGAAGACAGACATTGCTTAGAGTAGGAGATCCAAAATATCCTCGATTCTGGAAAATTGCCGCCTAGAGTGTTTGTGTGTGGATGTCTGTGGCATAGGCTTGAAAAGCGAATCATTATAAGTGAGCACTCAAAAATGAATGGGGAGCTGGGGATTTAGCTCAGTGGTTTCGCCGCCTGCTGCACAAGCGCAAGGACCTGAGTTCGATCCCTGGTACCAAAAAAAAAAAAAAAATGAATGGGGCGTGATGAGAAAAATACAGTCCCTTTTGGTCGGAACATGCTCACGTGCTCCCAGTAAATCACTTATCTGTGACAAGCTGGAAAGCAAGGGAGGGCTTTACTGCACGTGGATCACAGCGACTCCAGGACACATCCACACAGCACTGCCTCGGTCATCGTTTATTGCCCTGTGTGGCTCAGGAGCCCTAACTCAGCACAGCAGCCAGGCAGGATTTTCAGTCTCTTCACAAGCCCTCACACTTGTTCCTGAGAGCTGGGGGGACATGCGACACTGGAAGGGCCACCTATGAGGGCGCTCTGTCTCGAAGTCAGCGCCTCAGCCTGGGCGTTCACAGTCCGAACATGTGATCAGTACTGGGAAGCATTCCAGTCCGGGGGCCCTGGCATCACTCACCATCGGGGCATCACTCATCACTGCTAAAATTGTGGTTCTGGGGCAGCCAAGAACTGAAAGCAGCCGCCATCCTGCTTTTCTGTGCTAAAGAAGTATTTGCCACTTCCGCCATATTGCTTAATAAGGAGAGAACAGTAGCAACAGTTAACACAGATATAATGCTTAACGTGTCAGATGTTGCTATAAAAGCTCTCTCTATAATTAACTCATTGGATCTTCAAAATGTCCCATGAAGAGTCAGGTATGTGAGGGCCCTCTCCAAGTCCAGCTACTTGGGAGGCTGAGGCAGGAGAGCCACTTGAGCCCAGGAGTTCAAGGCCAGCCTGGGCAACATAGGGATACTCTCATATCAAAAAGAAAATGAAGGGCCGGGGATTTAGCTCAGTGATTTTGCCACCTGCTGTGCAAGCACAAGGACCTGAGTTTGATCCCCAACACCAAAAAAAAAAAAAAACAAAAACCCCCACAAAATAAAAAGAAAATGAAAATCCCATGAGGTAAGTACTATTATCAACATTCTCCCCCTTTTACAAGATGAGGAAACTGAGGCAGTCAGCACATAAATAAGCAAAGCATGAGTGGGGTATGCTAGGTATAGATTAATGTAACGGACAATAAAGCAGGGTCAGAGATTACATAATAACAAAGATTGAGGAGGCACTTTACGCAATTTTAAACTGAAGGCCGAGGAAAGGGCTTATCATGAAGGGGATATCTCAGATCTGAAGGAGTACAGAGAGCAAACCAGGTGGAATCCAGGGATAAAGCACTTTAGGCAGAGTATTTAAAGTACATCAAGTGCTGTGCATTTCTGTACATAACTTCATTTAATTATCACAAAGCTGATGAATTGGTTATTTTTTTAACTTTTATTTTTTAGTTTTTCAAGATAGAGTGTCACTATGTAGTTCAGGCTGGCCTTGGACTCACTAAGTAGCCCAGGCTGGCCTTGAACTCCCAGTGATCCTCCTGTCTCAGCCTCTGGAGTGATGGGATTACAGGTGTGTACCACCACACCTAGCTAATTATTTAAATTCTTTTTTTTCTTTTGGTACCCGGGATAGATCTCTGGACCTTGCACTTGCGAGGCAGGCAATGGAACCACTGAGCTAAATCCCGGGCCCCTTAAATTCTAACAGTGATGTAGAATTACTAAATTGTTTTTTTTTGGTACCAGGGATTGAACTTGGGTCCTTACACTTGTGAGGCAGGTGGCGGAATCACTGAGCTAAATCCCCGGCCCTACTAAATTTTAAATTTATTAATTTAGGTGCATTTTACAAACTGAGGAAAGTTCGGAATCCTTCATCTGTAAAATGGAGAAAAGAACAACAGCTACACCCCAAGTAGTTGGGAAGGAGACAGTATATGTAAATGGCTCGGAATTGCATCTGTGCTACACAGCATGGTCAATAGATGCTAGTTGTTTATTATCCCTCATCTCATAAATGCTCACAACATCCTTCTGAAATGAAGTACGAAGCGACTCAGGTAAGGTCGCACATGTAGGCAGGCAGGGAGAAGAGCCCGAGGTGAAGTACAGGCTTACGCATCGGTACAACACTGCCATCCAGTGCCAAGACAGTAACTACAGCTTTGAACAATGTTCAGAGCAATGTTCTGAAAAGGCACATAGCTGCAAGTTTCCAAACACTTGTAAACAAAACACAACAGGAGGACTGTATCTTTAGTTCCCCTGCTTTCTGAACAGCTATCCAGGATTTTTTTATTTAGGGAAAAGGTTGTAAATCAATTTGTTGGGGCTGCCATGGTGTAATCCTAGCACTCAGGAGGCTGAGGCAGGAGGATCACTGTGAATTCAAGGCCAGCCTGGAGCACATGAGTTCAAAGCTAGCCTGAACTACAAAGCCAAGACCCTGTCTCAAAAAGAGGGAGAGAGACACTCCTTATTTAGTTGGGAAGGAACCAATATGTGGCCAGACAGACATCTAAAACCTCAGATGAAATTCCCTATTTAAAATTGTAATAAGCACACAAAGCAACTCTACAAGATAAACAAATTAGTCTTCTCTCAACATGCAGTGGTAGGCAGCAGCAAATCACAGATGTAGTAAGAAAACAGGCAGGGGGCCAGGGATTTAGCTCAGTGGTTCCACTCTCTGCCCTGCAAGCACAAGGACCCGAGTTGGATACCTGGTACCAAAAATAAAAAAGAAAAAGAAAAAGAAAACAGGCAGAAGAATGATGCAAGTGGTAGGTTTGTTGTTTCTACTCCTAGCTTTGGCTAAAGAAATCGTGGGAGGGCCGGGTGTGGTGGCGCAGGCCTGTGATCCCAGGGCTGGGGAAGCTGAGGCAGGAGGATCTCCTTGAGTTCGAGGCCAGCCTGGACGACATAGTAATTTCAAGACCAGCCTGAACTACAAAGCACACCCTGTCTCAAAAAAAAAATTAAAAAAATGGGAGTTTCGAAAATTCCTGCTTCCTCGGTTGCTTATGCTTGTAGCTCTGCACGAAGAAGCACCTATGGCAAAATAACTAGGGTGAGCACCAACGCAGAGTCGCCAGAAATCAGTGTTCAGCACGGTTCCGGCCCAGGCAGCTAGCGGGGCCGGAAACGGGACAGTGGGAACTGGGGGGCGCTGCTCGGCGTAGCCCCGCGGCCAGGGTTTGTGTAGGATGCGCCCCGCAGGCTTGAGGCGGCCTCACGTTAGCCGGGTGGTCCGGGACAGCGCTGGGCCCCACCCACTCTGAGGCTGTCTGGCGCCCAGGGACCACGGCCTTGAACTTGGGCCACCCCCGATCCCCACTTACCAGCCGTTGACCTCATTTTGGGAGTTGACATCCACTCCGCTCTCCACCAGCTTCTGCACCTCCCGGATGTCCCCCAGGGCCGCGGCCTCGCGCAGCCGCTCCTGCTGCTCCCTCTGCTCCAGGAGCGCGCTCATCTTTCCCCGGCCTTGGGCCCCGGCCGCCCCGCCCTGCCCCGGGCCTGTCAGCGCCTCCGCCTTCTCCGCGGCCGGCTCCGGGCCATGGGGAGAGAGCGCGGGGCTCCCCGCCCTGCTCGAGCCTGGCCCGAGGCCTGCGCTGTCGCCCGCCCTCTGCCCGTGGCTACCCGGCTCCGGCTCGCAACCCGCAGGCCCAGGCCTCCTCCCCGGCCGCGCCTCCTAAGGCCGACTGCGGGGGACCCTATTCAGTGTGACAACCCTGACCCAGATTTCTCGCGTTCCGACCCACGGCGCCGCTGCCCTGAGCTGGCTGGGGGTGGGGAGGGGTGGTTATGTAACCACAACACAGTATTAGCCACCGTGATTCATTGGCTATTTTTAGACCTCCCCATCCCGCAGCTTCCAGGGAGGAAGACAGACACTTGGAAAGAGAAAGAAAGTATATTAGAGAGCCAGAAAAGCCTTATCCTCTGGCGCAGGCTGTTTACCAGGCATCAAAGATAATTGGTGGGTTGTTTTTTTCCAATTTGGGCTGGCTCATTTTCCTGCCCAGCAGGACTGGGAAATGGGCTGAACATGATCCGACTGTAATGCGCCATTATTGCACATATAGATTACACTGTTCTTTCTTTTTGGTCCGTGCTTGGAACCATTCTGTTAGATTATTTATTGCAATTTATTTTAAGTGAGCATTTTTTTTCTACATTGGCTTTCAGGAATATTGATACTGTCTTTTTTACCGTTTATAAGCTTTAATTTATCACTGATTATAAACCATTACACTTCATAAAGGTCATGGAAGGAAAAAAGAAAGAAAATACCAAAGAGGGTTTGGAGTCGTGGGCCTGATTTCAAGCATCAGGATAGACCTCTGTACAGCAGTTTGCTGGATCCTGGCCTAATCTATCTAATGAGGTTGAGGACCCTTCTTGGTGCTGTTTTACTACCCAGTGGAAGAAAAAGAAAATACTGTTTTGCTGGGCCCAGGTGCCTGGAGAGATTCCCCCAAGGTGGCACAGGTTGGAACTCAGTAGATGGCAAGAGAGGATTAAGGAAATAGCCCTGGAGAGCCAGTGAGGAAGGTCTGGAGCAGAGAGGAGATGAAATCCAACGGGACGAATTTAGGCATTAAGTCTTCATTTCCGTCTCAGGACTGTCAGGGTGTGCACAGCAAAAAACAATATCTGTGCATTATGATTCAGTAGCTCACACAGCTCACATGGCACACCAGGTGGCAATGAATATAAAATGACTAAACTCTTAAATTGACCACCGCGGCAAATTAGAACTCTGCTTGAGCTTACTTTTTTTAAATTTTTTTTTTTTTTTTTTTTTTTTGAGACGAGTCTTGCTGTGTAATTCAGGCTGGCCTTAAACTCACTATGTAGCCCAGGCTGGCCTGGAACTCTCGACAATCCTCCTGCTTCAACTTCCTGAGTGCTGAGACTACAGGCATGCACCACCACGCCCAGCAATATGTTTTTCTTTTCTGAGATGGGAATTGGGTCCAGGGCTTCATACATGTTAAGCTAGGACTCTATCACTAAGCAACACCCCCAATCCATTAATGTCTTCTTTTTTTTTTTCCAGTACCAGGGATCGAACTCAGGACCTTGTGCTTGCCAGGCAGCCACTGTGCCACTGAGCTACATCCTCATTAATGTCTTCTTAAATCCTACGTCTAGGTCCAGGGATTTAACTCAGTGTTTCCACTGCCTGCCTCAAAAGCTCAAGGTCCCGAGTTCGATCTCCGGTACAAAAAAAAAAAAAAAACTACCTCTACAATCTCTGACTCCAACCTTCTATTTGTTAATCCTCAAATTTAAAAAAACAAAAAAACAAAACGAAGTTCAGCATTGGAGGTGTAGCTCAGTGGTAAAGCCATGCTTAGTATGCACGAGGACCTGGGTTCAATCCCTAGTAGAAAAACAAAATCAAAAACCGAGCACCCTAAAAAAAAGCCCTATAATCCTTGCTCTATCTGAGTGTAACATGGTACCTATTACTTCATTTTTCTCTACTTCGTCTTGTCTCTAAGGAATCTCTTAACTTTCTGGCTGTGTCAGCCTGGACTGGTGGTTCGGCACTGTTGAGTCACTGAGAATGCTGCTATGAACAATTAGAGTTCTTGATTTTAGAAGCATGCAATCTCTCTGGGGCACAAGGGAAACAAGAAGGTATTACAGTGGAAGTATATGGCAGAGAGCTCAGTGGTTGTGGGTGGAGATAGAAGCCAGGCTGCCTGGGTTTCTATGCCAGCTTTGCCACTCACATAATCTTGGATGAGTTACTCCACCTTCCTGTGCCTACATCCTGTATCTGTGAAACGGGTGATAATACATCTACCTTGCAGGATTGTTGTATGAAATGAGTGAATAGATCGTAGGTTTGTTACAGCAAGCTGATGGTCAGGAAACAAAGATAATAGCTAGGCTTTTGGCTGATTAGGTGGTGGTGCCATTTACTGAGATTTGGGACAAAGGATGAAGAGAGGGTTTGAGATTTGAGCATGAATTCACTTCAAATCTGTTGCATTAAACTGTCTCGAGCTATCTTGAGCTGCTTAACATGGTTCTACCACGGAGCTACACTTTTAGCCCCTGAGCTGTTAATTACTACTACTATCTGCTTCTATCAAGTCATTGCTAGGTTCTGAACTGAGTGTTGCATATTAAATTATTCTCTTTACCCATCACAAACGTCTTGTAAAGTAAGACCATCGTTATTAGCAGAGAGGTAAGATGCCCACTGCCATACAGTTTAGTGATGAAAAGGGCTTGAATGAGATTTTGACTCCAGAGCCCTTTTTGTTTGTTTGTTTTGGTTTGGATTTTCCTATTCTAGTGCTGAGGATTGAAGCCAGGGCCCCATACATACCCAGCTAAGCCCTCTACTAATACAGGAAATGATACCAGAGATGAAATATGAAAATATTATATCTCACAATATGTTGGCTGTCTGATACACTGAGCTTGTGTTCTCTAAAAATCGAAGAATAAATTCTAGGAGCAACAGATGTTAAGAGCAGGAAAATATTTATTTATTTATTTATTTATTTATTTATTTATTTAGGTACCAGGGATCAAACTTGGGTCCTTGTGCTTGCAAGGCAGGCGGCAGAACCGCTAAGCCTAATCCCCAGCCACAGGAAGATATTTCTTGATAGGATAGCTCCTGGGAGATAGGAGGGGTCTTGAATGGGTAGCTGGGGACCCCACTGTATAGGAGAGTTTTATGGAGTTAAACTCATGTGGGTACAACATGGGCCAAAGCTATGATCAACCAATAAGGTTACAAGTATAGTCACTTAGGTAACAGTGATCCAATTGGGAAACAACTCACCTAACAAGCGTGGATGGAAAGAACAAAGACTTCTTCTAGGAAATGGTGGGTCCAGAGGTCCTGGTCACCCACTGAGGTGACTGATGTCTATGTGAACTTTATTAGACCCAGTGTTATCCTTTGAGGAAGTACATAAGCCTGGTCATCTTGTCTTTTTTTTTTTTTTTTTTTTTTGGTACCGGGGATTGAACTCGGGTCCTTGTGCTTTCGAGGCAGGTGGTGGAACCACTGAGCTAAATCCCCAGGCCATCATCTTGTCTTTATCTTGAGGCTTGATCTCCAGCAGATGTGTCTCTGGCCGCAGTGGCACCGTGGCGGTGATGTGTTTTACCTTTGACCTGACTCTCTCAAGGCTTAACTCTATCTGAGTGCCTGCAATATTTTTATCTGACTTAGCTGTGTATAATACTACCACTTAGCTACATCCCCAGTCCAGAGCTGTTTTCTTTTCTGATTTCCACTTAAGTGGAGAAGTCCAGTAAGCAGTGTGTGTGGGTGCTGCATTCAGAGAGAGCTGGGTGGTGGTTTGGCTTTGGCACTCATCAGCAAAAGGTGCTAGCAGAAGCCGTGAAAACAGGAGGGAGAGCCCCAAGAGAGGATGTGAGCTCTGAGAGAAGACAGCAGGCAGCATCCTGAAGAACACTCACCACATTCATAATGGACAGAAGAGAAATCCTCCAAGGAGCCTGAAGAGGAATAACTGAAAAGGTAGAAGGATAAGTGAAGGAGTAGGAGGGATCAGAGATGATGCGGTGGCTCCAAGAGTCAGAGATGCAGAAAGAGCAAGGAGGAGAGGGCCGAAATGTGTGAAATGTGTTTAACCACCCAAGAAGACAGCTGGCAACCTTGGAGAGGAGGGTTGCCATGGTGGGCATGCCATCCTGACTGTGACAACAAAATGCCATAGACTTCCACACAACAGAAACTGACGTCTCACAGTCCCGGAGGCAGGAGTCTGCCGCCAGCCCCTGACTGTCTCTGCACATGGCACAGCTTCAAGGGGCTCTCAGTTCTCTTACATGGACCCTTATCCCATCTTGAGGGCTCTCCCCTCAAGACCTAATCATGTCCCTAAGGTGCACCTCCTGCAACTAGTATTATAGACAGCTGGGTTAGGTAAAAACATTACAGCAGTCAGATAGGCCTAGGTCCTCGAGAGAATCAGGACAAAGGTGAAACATACCACAGCTGTGGCCAGAGACACATCTCAGCCACCTGACTGCTGGGATTTGTGGGCCACCATGCCTGGCTGTTTGTTTGTTTTTTTAAGATGGAAAATTCAAGCATTCTTTGCATTGTCTCACTCTGTTCCTTTATTTTAAGATCAGATTCTTAGGGCCGGGGATATAGCTCAGTGGTGCGGCACCTGCCTCCCAAGCGCAACATCCCAAGTTCAGTCCCCCGTACCAAAAAAAAAAAAAAAAGGCTACATCCAACATCTTTTAGGGCCAGGGGTTTAGCTCAGTGGTTCTGGCACCTGCCTCAAAAGCTCAAGGTCCCGAGTTCAATCTCCAGTACTGAAAAAAAAAAAAAAATCAGGTTCTTGCTCTTTACTTTCTCTAAACTAGTTGATGGACTTACAGTTACAGTATCCTTAAGGAATTTTGGGTGTGCTGGCTCTGGATGGAAAGAAGTGTAAATTAACCTAGGGAACCCTATTTGAGACAGGGTCTTGCTATATAGTTCAGGCTGGCCTTGAATTTACTATGTAGTCCAGGCTGGCCTCGAACTCTCCTGAGTGCTGGGACTACAGGTATGTGCCACCACGCCTGGCCCAAGTTCCAGTTTTCTTTTTTCTTTCTTTCATTTTTTCCTTTTTTGGTACAGGTGATCGAACTCAGGACCTTGAGCTTGCAAGGCAGGTGTGGTGCCACTGAGCTAACTCCCCAGCCCCAGCTTTCTTAAAAGTACA